ACACATAAAAGACAAAATACTTTTCCTCAGAATCCTGTTGTCTTTAAAAAAAATCACCAGTAGGTGTTCAATGATATCAATGAGTCCTGGCCTCGCACATAATATGGGGACTCTGGTATAAAAAGCAACGGTAGCACAGGACAAGATGATGTATGTCATATAAATTCATGAAGTACACAGGTGTCTTGATGGATTTAGACGTTATAATAAAATACAAACGAGGGGATTTGTTGCACTGGACACAATATAAATGTGGGAGGTTGGCAATGCTGTATAGCAGGTGCAAGGAGGAATGGACTAGCTGAAAGCTCTTCCCGTCATAGAAGGGGTTTCACGGTCGACAGTAGGGGGCTGTGGCAGAGCCAGAGAGGGGGGCCGGGTTCTAACCACGCCTGCAAACCCCCCTTCGACTCTGAACCACATAGGCTAGGCCACAGGTGTGACAATGATGATGATTAGAAAGGTCAACAATATTGGAACTCTGATTGAAGTAGAAATTGAAAAAAAAAAGAAACAGTTAACACACGGTGTTTAAGTCACAAAGAGGATACTGCCTTTGCACAAGCAACTTAGGAAAAGCAACTAGTTGTTACATTGAGGAAACTCTAAACACATCTGAGACCTGCTTGTTTTTAAAATGTGGTCTAGTCGGGGGGAGTGATGGGGGGGAAATGGAGACAACTGTACTTGAACAACAATAAAGACGAATAAAGAAATAAAGACAATAAAATGTAGCCCGTAACATCTGGAAAATGAGGCAGGTGTTTTAAAAAAAGATAAATAAAATAGATTTGAATGAAGCAAGGCCAGGAAGAAAAAATAAAGATCAAAGATAAAATGGCTTTCCATATAGATAATGAGTAAAAGAAAAAAAAAAACCTTGAGATTAAAAACAATTATAGCCAGAAATAATGTCATTGTCTGGGTGGAAAGAAACTGTTAATAGATAAGTATAAAATCTAAGTGATTTCTAAGGTTTCATATTTTTATTGATTTTTAAAAATTCAATTATTATATGTTGAGAAGGATACCTTATCACGCGAGTTCGAAAAGGAACTCTGCATTGCTAAGGAACATTAACTCAACCAAGAGGAAGTAGAAATTATGTGGATTATTAATTTTACTAGGATACTTAACAGCTATTCGCTAGTTTAAGAGTTGGCATGGAAGTCATAAATTCCTGGAGACTGAGGGAGAGTTACTGGATTATCTGTCTATTAATCAAAAGAAAATCAGAGAAGCTCTGGTAACTAAGTAGCTGTCTCCTGAACTTCCACACTCAGAAAGGTGAGTGCAGACCAACACACAATGAATTTGCGACCACAGAGAACTGAGAATGAAGCAGGGACCGACATGCCTTTCAAAGAAGGGTTTCGTCATTTCATGATGAAGAGATGGGAGGGGTAGACAAGAGGGACTTGAAGAGATGGAAACTACACAGGTCCCAGCAACACAGTGTCATCTGAAATCATAAATTATTTGAGCTGTTGACTGGTGATGTAATAGAGGATTTGGTATGCATGCAACCTTAAAAATCATTTGAATGACAATGGATTTTGTCTCGCAAATTAAACATTCCTTTCTCTACCATCACAAAGGAATTCCACTTCCTCTGATGAGCACCAAGGTGATTTCAGCCAGTTTTATAGGATTGTCACAATATTGAAACAATCTGTACCTATCTCCTATTATTCAATGCAGCCTGCCTGTGCACATAAATAATCTTATCAATCATCTCCTGAAAATGCCTTCAGGAGAAGAAGTCTTGCCAAAATAATCACTTTCCTCTTATAATGAAGAATAGACTCAGTACTGGCCACCAATATATCTTGTTGCTGTGTTTGGCATAATTCCTCTGGAAAGAACTTGAAGAGTATTAAAAAAAACATACAAAGAGGAGAACCCCCATCACCCCCATATGTGGTATGCATGCGCTGGATATTCATTTCTTCAAAATTTGACTTATTTATCATAAGTAACTGCAGCTCTCTGAAATGAATAGCATACAGGAGGATCTCAGTGTTTTCGTACCCATCGCTGGTACACTGTGCTTTTTTCTCAAGGATGCTGTAGCTACTAATTCAAAACTGTAACATGAACCAGGGCTTGACTTTATATTGAAGGCTTCTTAGAGAAATTCCATAGTTCAGTATTGAACCATATCTGTTAATGCCTTGACAACAGTATATTAAAAAATTACTGTGAAAAGAAGAATTGGTTGGAAATAAAATGTACAAAATAGCACTTTTTTTCAAAAAGAAGAAAGCAATAATGCTCCATAATACTAATATCACTATAGCTTTTTCATTAAATATAAATAACTACAAAGCAAATAAAAAATAAAAGCTTCCCAGTACATTTTCAGAGTATTTGCAGTTTTTATGTAACTGTCCAGAAATATTCTATGAAGAACCAGTATTAATTTTTTCAAGTATTCAAATCTGCTGGTAAAATTATGTATCATTCTATTTTAATTATTATTACTCAATAATCATTTGAAATTATTCCAAATTAGCAAATATAAATAAGCCTAACTTTTGACTGCCACATAATATTCCATGGCGAATACATCATATTCAATCAACCAGCTATGATGGATATTTAGATTTTAGCAATAACTTGCATTGAAAAAAAAACTTGTTCTAAATTTATATCAAGAATTGACTGAGTCACAAAGGACATTGCAATTTAAATTATATTTTTGAAATGTCACAGTTTACATGAGAGTTTTCAAATGGAAAAGAAATAGCATCCAATAAGCTTACTTGGCAGCATTAGGGAGTAAAGTTTGTGAACCTTATCTATCAGAAAATCTGGACTGAAAAAAAATGTTCATTATGGAAGGATCCCAGAGATAGTGGTCAGGAGCCAGTGCGAGGCAAACCAAGCGGGCTGGGAGTCCTTTGAGGACCCGGGAGATAGGGATGAAAGAGAAGAAATATGCTCGGGGAAGAGCAAATGCCTGTTAACGTGATGAGATGGAAAGGCTGTTTGAGACCAGAGGAAGGCGAAGCGATAGCCGTCCATAGAGGGGTGGAGTCGCACAGCAGCCCTGGAAGTGGCTGGCAGATGGAGGCTGGTAGTGCAGGGAAGGGAGGCATGCGCCGGAAGCCAAGGAGAGTAATGAGAATCACTCCCTTTCTCCATCAGAAATGTGGACACTTTCTTTGGAGAACTCTTGCTAACAATGAGCTTTCTTTATTCATAAACTGTGGATAAGCACTTAAATGCAGGGTCCCGCAGAAGTAACACCTGCTTGAGTGTGGTCGGTAGGGTAATAATATGGGCGTAATAAAGTATAATTTTTCAGTGAACATTTCACCTAAAATGTCCTATGGTGTGCTCAAGCGTGATATTGTTATGTTACAGAATTACATGCTTATGATTTTGTAACAGAAGCAGCGTTATTTGTGCTAGAGCATGTATATTATGTAAAAGAAAATATATTCTTTGGGTGGAAAACACTATATCTCTAAAAAGTTTTTTCAGATCATTGATTTCTCCAGTAGTATTTCCTGTTCTATAAACCCCAGACCAAAGAGTCAGAGAGGAATGGGACAACTCTGGAATCCAATGATCTAACAGAATGTAACATATCAAATCTATATCATACACTAAATCTTCCATTAATCACTAAGTCTTCCATTAATGGGAGACTCCCATTAGCACCTGCAGAAAAATTGTCAATACACAAAGAAGTTCAGTTCCAGTTTGAACAATGTGAAAAGGGAAAGCATAAGTAAAAATAAGATTTAATTACTAGATCTAAGCGGCAGTAATTTTATTGATACCATAATACTACACGCAAAGTTCCACACATGCTACAACTGCCCAGTCAAGGCAAGAAAGATATATTTATAAAATACATTCCAACATCCAAAAAGCATAATGCAAGAATAGCATTAGCCATGTCAGCCAAATATTTGATCTAAATTTCATTATAGTTCCTTTCTTCAATAACTTTCTATGAAATCTAAGAAGTTCTATGAGATATTCAGATACAAACTATAAATTAATTATTTAAAAGATAGAAATAGTTATAATCATCCAGAAATATGTAAAGTTTTATTATATAAATTTATATTAAAATTAATTATAGTGCATATTATAGCAATTTTACTTGCTAAATGATATTTCAGATGAACTCATGACTCTTGTGGTAACTAAAACACCAGTGTTCACAGTAGGCATGTTTTTAAATCAGAAAGCCAAACACCTTGTATTTCTTCTTGCATACCGCTCAAAGCAAAATGCACCAAAACATCTGAAACCAAATGTAACACAGGCCTTCATTCTATAATAATCACTAGCATTGGAAAAATCGAAGGATTAATCCCCAGCCATGATATTGACCACAGTTATACATTACAGAGGGAGAAATTTAGACTTTCTCAAGCTCAGGGGAATACTTGAAAGTACAGCTATAGGAAGCAAAGGAAAATAGACTAAGAATTTCTAGGCAGTGGGGGTAAAAAGGTAAAAGTTAAATTTCACTCCTGAGCCTGAGAAACCTATGATGACAGACAAATAATGCTCCAAACGGACATACGTAAAAGTGCCCCTCTTACACACATACACACACGCAAAGAGACCCTTGTACCATAAACATATTACTATCGATGATCCGCAGATCGTATGTCAATGAAGCTTTACCTAGGCATTCATCTTTCACTGAATTCCCTCGCTTGCTAATACTCAAAAAGTTAAAGTGAAAAATAGTAAGATCTTGAGTCAGTACCACAGATTCCATAAAAGGCATCTGATACTGGATTGAAAAAGTCATAGGCAGGTAGAAAATAAGAGTGAACTTCCAAAACACCACAGAGTGCTCTTACAGTTGTAAAATGTCCAGAAGATCACACTCACGTTTAACACGCTACAGAGAGAGAATGGATGCTCTAACCTATGTGGCCAACTTAAACAGGAGCAATCCACTGGAGATCAAGAAAAAGAAGGCAAGGAGGGAAGCAGCCATGGTGTTATCGCCGCCTGTAAAGTACCTGTTTACGATGTCTTCTCCGTTCCAGCAGGCCACTCCCTCAGCAGCGGCCAAGTCGTTGCCACAGAGCTGATCAGCCAGGCCCCCATAAAATGTCCTGTGCAGGCGAAGGCTGTTGATAAATTCTCTGAATGGAGAAAAAAAAAACAAAGAACCCAATTAAAACAAAAAAATCCCTAACAAATGCTAATATAAACTGCATAATTTGTTAAGGAAAAATGTTCAGAATACAACTTTTTGTTGTCTCCACTGATTTTCGTGTATTTTTCGATACTTTCCTCACAATCAAGATGAAAAAGTTTTTCTAGAAAAAGAACACTAGTATTCAAATTCTTCGTTTCTTATAAAAGTCTGCCCTGGGCATGAATCTTATAGAATGGAGGTTGTGAATAACACACACATGCACTTCAGTTAGCTTCCTGAACGGCTGTCCCTAGTTGCTGGCATTGAAACCACAGTGATAACTAATTACTTCCTTTCCCATATAAAAGTGTCAGAGTCATGTAACATGCCAGTTGTTATCCTTACTGAATAAAAGTTTAGTAGACTTCTGATTTTTCTACCTGGGTCTTCTCTTTGGTGTCTAAGAACATAAAGTAGCCCTAGCTAGTGTGGTTCAATGGGTTGAGCAGTGGCCTGCAAACTGTAAGGTCGCTGGTTTAATTACTGGTCAGGACACACACCTGGGTTTGGGCCAGGTCCCCAGCTCAGGGTGTGTAAGACATGGCTAATCAATGCTTCTCTTGCATATCAATTGTTTCTCTCCCTCTTCCCCTCTCTCTCAAAATAAATAAATAAAATCTTAAAAACAAGAACATAAAGTAAAATGTTTTTACTGAATATGAAAAACCCAGATATACAACATACAGGGTCCAGCACAAATACCACCCCTTTTTATTACAAAATCGTAAGTATGCCATTCTGTAACATAACAATATCCCACGCGAGCACACCCTATGACATTTCGGGTGAAATGTTCAAATTCGAACCGTGCATTATGACACCCACATTAGTACCCTACCAACCACACTTGACCAGGCCTTCCTTTGCTGGACCCTGTATTTCAGAAGCTTGAAAATGAAAGTTATTAGAAGGAACATTTAATCTACTAAGTTTTTCCCCTCACACTCTATTCCCTTCCCCCATGAGTACTGAAAAGAATAGTGGAGCACAGAAGCAATTTGTTTGGGTTTTAACTTAAAAAGCCAAGAACCTTGAGTTTTAAAATCAACACTTTCGGGGTGCAAGAACTTGGTTTTAGCATTTCCAAGTCCTAAAGACTTTATTTTTTTAAATTTGTTTTACATAAGCAGATGTTTTAGAAAGAAATAAACAGCTACTAACGTGCTGCAGAGGAGATCATTTCTGAACTAGAAGGGAAGGAGGGAAAGAAAAGGCTGGAGCAAAAGCAAACTTTAGGAATTCGTGGCTCGAGCAGTTGAAATGTACCAATTATGACATTTCACCTACCACTGACATTTCTTTTTCATTCTCTAAAAATGAAGTCAAAGAGGGGCTGCTCTAACTAGAGCTGAAATAACTAATTAAAAATAAATAAATACAATTTTGACACATGGATGCTCAACTCCCTTAATTTCACAATTCTTTCCTATTGATTTTCAGGAACTTTTATTTTGAGAAACATCTGTAGGAATGATCACTGTAATTTTCAAATATGCCACAGGCCTGGCATATTTGATTTGATGGAAATCAGAGAGATGAGAAGTTCCCACAGCACATGTTTGACGAGCATTCAATAAAATTTTTAGCAAAACTTGGCCAAACAAGTAATAACAAAATGGCCACCTGAAGCATAAACCTGATTCAACTCTAATTTGTGCACAACAAAAAAATATATCGCTCTATCTTCTTGTTTGCATAGTAACTACTTATTTACACTTTTAGTCAGTTTTCTCTACTGGGAAACAAGGCCCTCCTTGACAGCCGCATCCCTGCCAACTAGAGCACAGGAACAAATACCATTTCTCCTGTCGCAGCTACCAAAACCTCACTGATGAAGCTGACTGGTTCTTTCTTAGGGAAGTGGACTTTACTGAATGCTTAAACATGTGTCCCCAGCCTATGCGCCATCAAAGAATTTTCTAAAAGTGAAGGTGACTGGCACAAATGGCTGGAATGCCTTGACCTCAGAATTGATGATATAAAACCGAAAAATATATATACATATATGTATTTTAGTGGAACCCAAACTCCTACTCCAATCTTGGTGAATGCTGCCCTTGTTTCATTCATTCCTTTCCGACCAAACCCCACAGTGGGGAAAGCTGTAACTCTTTCTTTTGTGGACCCCTTTCCCAGTGCTTCCTTCCGCAGGTGCCTTGGTCCAGGCTCGTATCCTCTGTCTCTGGAATTACTGCACTTGGATTACACATCTCCAGTCTCCCTCCTTAACAATCACCTCTCTCGTCCATCACGAAAGCCACCTTTTAAGATTCAAATCTGCTGTTGCTCCGATTGCCACCAACTTGCCTAAAACCATCAGTGGTTCTCTACTCTCTGCAGTGTGGAATCCACATTTCTTAGAAATACACCTAAGGCACCCTTTCACCTCAATTTCAGCAGCACCTCAAACCATACTTTAGGGGCTCCACAAAAATGAGGTACTTGCTGTTCCCTAAATATACCCCCCACGCCTTTGCATGCACGCTCTCTAAAATGATAGTGTCCTAGAAGATTTCCACTCCTTCTGTAAATAAAGCATCGCCTGTCAGGTGTTTGTCAAAGAGTAAGCAACACTGCTGAGTGCTGAGCGCTGCACTTGCACTTGGCATTCACAGCTAAACAAGACGGTCCCTGCCTTCTAAGGATGCACATTCTGGGGAAAATCCGTAACCATCATATGAGATCAATAGTGCAGTGTTTGCAGACAGAGGAGGAGTCTGGAGCTATTTACAAAACAAGGTAACAGTTTTGTGGTACGAGACCATGAATCCCACTGAAGTTTGCTGTCGGAGAGGCGACCTGGGAAGTCAGTGCAGGAGATATGGAACATGGATTGTCTCTCAGACAAATAATCTGCACTCAGAAAAAGCCAAAGGGCCTCGGAACAAGCAAAGGAAGACCACTTTAATGTTAGAGAGCAGTGAAAACTAAAAGAAAAAAGGAAAAGGAAAAACAGAAGGAATCTGAAGTTAGAGAGATTCCCCACGGTGTAAAATGCCATTATGAGCAGTTAACTAAAATAAGAAATATGTCCTCAACGTGGATTGACTGCAGTTGTTATGGACTAAGTTATGTCCCCCCTAAAATTCATAGGTTGAAGCCCTAACCCTCAATGTGACTGTATTTGGAGACAGCGCCTTTAAAGAGGAGATTAAGCTTAAAGAGGTTATAAGGAAGGGACCCACTCTGATTGACTGGTGTCCCGATAAGAGGAGGACGAGATGCCGGGGGTACAGGCACAGCGAGAAAAGGCCATGTGAGGACACAATGAGAAGGTGGCCATCTGCCAGGCACGCAGGAAGCCTCAGGAGGAACCAAACTTGCCAAACTATGATCTTGGACTTGTAGCTTCGAGTAACTATGACAAAATGAATTTTTGTGGTTGAAGCCACCCAGTCCATGGTGTTTTGTTATGGCAGCCCAAGCAAACTCATATAATCAGTAAAGCATTTAAAGTAGGTTAACAGACTTCATATTTGCAGGAGGATGAGCATTAAGTAGAACATATGAAACTGGAAGTGGAAAGCCCCAAAAAGGAAAATTAAGGGAGCTGCCTCTGTGTTTGTGTGCGCTTGTTGGTATAAGGAAAGCATTTGAAAATATTAGTGTGTGAAAGAGAAGGAGAAAACAAGGGTGTGCTCATATACGCTTGTTCCCAAATATCCCAATTTCCTACCTTTGGGGCACAAAGCCCCTCTGAGGGTCTTTGCTTCTGTGACTTGCTCTGTGTTTTCATAAATCTACGCAGGGGTGAGGTGTGTTCCTTCCAGGCTTCTGATTTAAGGGTCAGCGTGACATTGCCACCTTCTGTTTCTGTCTGCTATAATGGCAGGGAGTATTTCACACGTTGGCTGCTCTGTCATTCTGGGCCTGGAGGCCTGGACGACTTGAACAGCACCCCCAGCTGATCTAAAATGGGTATCAGTTGCTAACAAATATATTTACTTTTTGTCCTGAGCCAATGATAGATTGGGGTTGTTTGCTACCACATCATAATTTACTCTCTGGACACAAAGATAGGCAAAGCAAATTAATGATTGATGGATCACAAATTCTGAAAAGAAGAGAGATAAGAGGATTACTGAAAGCAGATAGAGTGGTTAGCTTTGGAGCACATTCTCTGAGACCAAAATAATGGAAGCAAGGCCGTGTGAACTTGGAGACAAGGTTTGGTTTGTGACGCCAGACATTTCGAGAGGCCTTACTTTGCAACTCTATATTCTCTGGCAGGTTAGGGGTCACAAGAATGGGTGTCCCCTCTGGGAAGCTGTAGTGTGACGGCCAAGAGGCTGCTCAGAGCACCTCTGTGTTCCTACAGGTGCTACCATGGCTGTGGGCAAGGTCACCCCTGAGCCGAACAGGAAGATCATTGCCTTGGCCTTCTGTGTCCTCACCCCCAGTGTGTCAGTTGTGAATCTGACCTGCCACCTGGGGAAAGCTGACAAATATGATGATACCAAGCAGGAGTGGAGCAGGCATCAGAGGGCCCCCTCAAGGGCATCTTGGGCTGTACTGAGGACCAGGTCATCTCCTGCAACTTTAACAGTGACACCCACTCCTCCGCCTTCGATGCCGGTGCTGGCATTGCCCTCAGTGACCATTTTGTCAAGCTCATTTCCTGGTATGACAGTGAATTTGGCTGCAGCCACAGGGTGGTGGACCTGAAGGTCCACGAGGCCTCCAGCTCCAGCCCTAGCTGCCCGGACCACCAACCCAAACCCCACCCACCTGGACCACCAGACCCACTGACAGGAAGAGAGGCCTTCAGCTGCTGGGAAGTCCTTTTCCCAGATCGATCCCCCCACCAACACACTAAAAATCCTCTGACCTCCAGGTTCCATCCCAGACCCCCTGAAGAGGGAGGGGCTTAGGGACCCCTGCCTTGTCACTCACCATCAATGAAGTTCACTGCACCCAGCCAAAAAAAAAAAAAGGCATATTGCA